TTATAATGATCAGATCTTGGACAAGTTCAAAGTTGACGATCTTTCGGTGAACGGTTTTTGAGTTATTGCCCTCAGAATTTTATTAAATAATGTGTGTTTGCTTAAATCAACAATATCTTGCACAAATTAGATTTTTGGTATGATTTGACACAGATATGTGACTGCACTTGATATACTGAAAGTGTGTCAGAAAGTGGGCGTATCTTGCTAGACAACCACTTGTTATCTATGCAAAGACCATTTTTTTCTATTCTATGTGGTATTGTAAACAAATAGAGCTTTTCTCAGGTTCACCTTTAATTAATTTATCATGGTCAACATATGTTTTATGATATACAATTAATGAAAAATATAATTCAAGACATTTATCATTTTTCATTCTCCAGAAATAATTAAAATCTCATATAATTAGATTAACTATGTACTCTGAAACCTCAAAAATGTCTGGTGTGTTTTTAACCACAACTCAGTTCCAGGCGTATCTGTGAATTATTAGACAGGGAGCGACAAAACTTTAAAGGGAGGGTAGGGCGGGGATGTGGGCTAAATTCTGGCCTAACATAGACATGTCACAGCTTAGTTCCTTAATACCTATGTGGAGAGTCATCATTGAAATATACATCTGTATCCTAAACTAAAATAGTTTGTCAGAACTGACTTTATGAATCTTGTCATTGTTCCCTGTGTTTCTCAAGTGATCTCGTGTTTTACCAACATCTTGCTGATGTGAAAGTATCCCAACCATGGTTAACAATACATAATCAGTCTGTTTTAGAATTATTGAGCTTGAAGGGGTTACATTGAAATTTATAAATGACAATTGCTGAGTCATTTCAAAAATATTAAAGTTTTATATAAGTTTTGTGTAAATTGTCTTATTGTCATTCTGATGAGCTTTGTGGATGTTCTTTTTTTTTTCAGATCTTGCAAGGTCATGTTGAGTCGAGAGATATGGCTTTTGTTGTATTTGCCTCACAAACAACACACGAAGGTGTTAAACTCACAAATTGTACAGCTAAAATACTCAGATTAAAAGGAAAGGTAGGGCTTTATAGTTTTTTTTTTGTATCGTGCACCACTTGTATCATACAAACTTCATAGACAATATTAAACTTTCTTTTCATTTACCATCATCATAGACGTACTGGGTAAAGTGCAGTTAGAGAGGAGTGTGGGAGGGGGAGGGGGGCTTTGGCAGGCTGGTTTGGTTGAAAATTTTGAAGGGTTGAGTTTTCAGACAAAGCACGACTCCTAGCACCGAAGGCCATGTCTGGGAAAACACTAATTTTTCATCGGCCTATTATTTTTTTCTTTCTTGATTAGTCTTTTCATAACTAATCTCTATTACTATAACTATCTCTGAGCAGTTGTTATGTCTATTGATTTGTCTATGTCAATTAAATACGTGCAAGGGTTTTGTGTCAGTCACATTTTGAATCCAACAGCGACTAGACAACGTTTCCTTTTCAAATTTGTATTCACATCTGACTGTTTATTTGAGTTACTAATATGGATTGTAAATGAGTTTTCTATACTTTTTATTTGTGTTTTGGACACTGATAGTACCAATTGGCACCGTTTATGACATAGCCTGCAAATATGAACATATATAAAATTACAAGATGACAAGACAAAGGTGGAATGAATTTTAAAAAATGCTGATTGAAAAATACTAACTGTACATTTTGTGTATTGGACCTTGCTCCTTTCTCATACAGTGACTGAATCTGTGATGGTCTGGCCTGCCCTATTGTTGTCAAAAATATACCTCATTTGTATGGGCATACAGAATAACTCTGGATTTATTTTACAGTTACGTGTGTTAATTGAAAAAGTAAGAGGTGAAGCTAATGTCAGTATTTCATTTGATGGTAAACCAGATATCAAAACCAATGTCAAACCATCCAATCCTTTCCAGGTGAGTCAAGCTTTTCCTTAACTAGACAGAAAACTAGATAGAAAACTAGATAGAAAACTAGATAGAAAATGTAAGAAAGATACCAACCATTATGGAGAATCCTGTCTACCAAAGGGTTCAGAGTAAAAAATCTCATGGCATTGATCTTTCTCAGATTTTTTGTACCTGTTTTCAGCAGGAATAACGATGAAAGATGATTTATTCAGAGTCATTAGCATTGACGATTATTAAAAATCAACATCAGTATTTGAGTGACTTTAAGCAACCAGGCAACAGTTCTCAAGGTTTTCCAGATATTTTATTTTTAAGAATAACAATTACAAAGGGTTTATAATTCAGTTAATTAAGGAATGACCTGAAAATTTTTTCAGTTTATCAATGTATAAACAGAAAAAACCTGTGTAATCTGTGTAGCTGTTTATACATAAGTGTATACTGGTTTTTTCTGTTTATACATGGATAAAGTGAAAAAATGTTCAGGTTATTACTTATAATTAAATCAACTCAAATACGTGTTTAAATATTTATTTAGCATAAATACCTAAAATTTTAACATAACGTTAATGAACTGATACTAAAAATAGAGACGTCCTAGAGAACAGCCAATCAGCAATCAGTAGGTCACCTATTTATAGTCTACCGTCTACTGCATGAAAGTTGACAGAGGCTACATTGAAAGTTCTATTTGAGGAAATTTAGAAAATACCTTTATCATTCAGTGATGTGTTGATTTCGGCTCTGTTGATTTTCAAAGGAACGTGTAGTGGCCACGTCAATCAAACTCAATGCTAAAAGTACTCCGTAAAGGGGCGGAGCTTACACAGATATAAACCGAATGCACGTGACGGCTGTTATCCAATCAAATTGCGTGATACTGTGTAAATGGAATCATGATTTGATCATTGACCATTACAAACTTGAAACAAATCAATGAACAGTATTTTGACAGATCATTTTTCCATGGTTGATTGTGTTGACTAACTGAAAAAGTTTAGGTGATGAATGCACACAATTTGAATATATCTGCACTATCTGGTACATCACTGTGCATTTATTTTTGGAAGTAATTTGATGCTTCAAGTTTAGAGATTTGTATCAATATTTGAAATCATTACCAGATGTTGGTAGAAATTCCTCTATCTTATGGAGTAATTACCACAGATGTTGGGGAAGGTTTTTTGTTTGTTTTCTGAATCTCACTTCTGCAATCTTGTCAGCCATTTTGTTTTTACCTGGATGTACATAATACTGGTTTAATGTTTTGAGCAGTAGATTACACCAAGGATTAAAGAGTTTTCTCTGTGTGATTAATTATTATTTGTATCACAAGAAATCTAAATTGACTGTTAAGTTTTGAGTGTTAATGAAGTTAAATTATGAAAATTGGTATTTTAATGGGGTTCAGTACAGTATTACTCCTGGAAGAGTTTTCTAACTGACGTAGATGTGTATTTAGAGGAATCTGCATTATCTTGTGAGAAATGTTTCAAGTTTGAATGGAAATTGATCTATTGTTTTTTGGAGTATATATTCCTTGATTTAGGAGATTAAAAGTTTTTGTACCTATCCTAGTGATAAGGGTTGAAAATTGGCTCTGGGCTGTCTTTCAGAAGTTCAGATTGTGGCATAGGTAGTTTTTTTTAACTTTGATGAGGATTCGAACCCATAGCACCTTATTGCTTATTCCATTATAAATTTGTACATCAAAGAATCTGTATTATATTAGTGTTAATATTGAGTGTAGTTAAATAAGTCAATGTGGAAGTTTTTAGAACTGTTATTATTCAATAAGAACTATATGATTCAGAAGTCAAAACTTACAAATGAGTTTACTGTGTTGGATTTGTTCATGGTCTAATGGATAGAGGCTGTGAAAATTTGATTTGAGTAAAAATTGATTTTTGGACCAGTATATGTACTGATGTGTTGTAAAACAGAAAACTTATGAAGGAGTGTGACTTGGTTTATTTATAATGCAAGCAAACATTGAGAATTGAGTAAATTGCATATGGTTTCTGTATCGCTTGTTGGATGTGAATTGTGGATTCATTTTCCAACCCTTTTTATTTGCCACACGATGTCTGTGGTTCCTCTTAGAACCAAATATTGAAGGTGAATCCCTGATAGATAGTTTAAATGCTAATAATATTAAGTTGATGGTAATAAATGATGATATTTTTAGTAGATCTAGAGGGGTTCTGGTGTTTATCTTGTAAGATTTGTATTTTTTCTCCTCTTCAACATCATGTTACATATAATTTATTTAATGTTTTTTATTAATGGTAATCTTAATATCATAAAGAAACGACTAATACAGGTTTTCCTTTTCTGTTAGTTATTGAACCATATTTGAAATACATAGATCAATCTGACCTGTCATTTTCTTTCCAACACCAAATTTTGACTAACTTGCTGTGCCTGAATCTGAGAACATGCAAAATTAGGCCATTTTTTGACCCATCATACTTAATTCTCAGAAAGTGGAATTTTTTTGCTGAGTCAATCATTAATAGTGTTCACAGCTCACCGTCGAAATTGGAGCCATGTGTGTCCAGAATTATCTGCTTTTGAATGTTAAAATGACGACTCGTCAATTTAAGATACTCTGTGATATATAGAAAAGACATATATAGAAATAGTGAGTAAAATTCCTAGTTGAAGTATTTCAGATTTCAGTACAAAATAATGATATAGTTAATTGGTCTCTTAGGATCTCTTTAACCTAGAAATTTTAACCATAGTTTTTCTTAATTAAAAAAATATTAGTTGTAAGTAGTAGAGAAGTTGTAACATCGGTGGAAAGAAAACATAGCTAATAGTAAAAACTTTCTGAACACACTTGGTGGTTGTAGTTGGTGTTGGTGGTTTTAGAATGTAGATATCACCCTTTTGAAATATTGTCTGTTTTGATAGGTACTTACTTGTTTCAGTTTGTTCATTGAGATTTGCGTTATCATAGTTTTTCAGTGCCACACTCTGGCTAAAAACTAAATTATTTCTGGAATTCACAGTATGGAGTTGTTGCTGAGAAGAACTTGTTGTGCCAGACCAGACAGTGTTTTTGAAGACCCAGGTAGTTTTGACCATAGTGACAATGTATATGAGGACCCCATTCTAAAGATTTTTAAGGCCAACAGTGTCAGTGATGAATACTTAGATAGTGCTTTAAAAGACTTGGGTGACAATGCGTTTGAAAATACTGATCATCTTACAGATGGATCTAATAGTGTTTTTGAGGAATCCTTTGTAAGTGTGTTGATGATTTCTGCCTACCGTGATATACTTTGAGTTTTATTGTGAAGCGAGTAAAATCAAACTGATTGTCTTTCATTCCAATGAACCAAAATTGTTCAATTAGCAACTAATGATTATCCCAACAAAATGAAGCAGCTCTGTTTGCCAATTTGTGATTGTCAAAATCTTATCTTGTGTACTATTTTTAGCTTGGATTTATTTCAGATCTGGTTTGAATCTTGATTGATATAGAGAATTTTTCAAACAATTGAGTGGTACAAGAACAAATCATTATTACATACTCTGTATGTTGAATCTTTAAGATATTTTTTGATGTTTTTATGAAAGTATGTCTCTCTTTACAGGATAGTGATGAATTGGTTGATTTGGGTGCCGTTGATGAAGTAGTTCGTAATGCCATTGCCCTGGCTAGTCCCAACTATAATATCAGTAAATGGTTAATGGATGACCCTCAATCTGCTGGAAGAACATCCGTTCAGGGAGGGCAGAGTGCTCACGGGGGTCAAGGCCATGTACCAGCAACCAATCATATGTCAGCAGTCAACGAAAGGATTACATCAACTGCAAGCCAGTTGGCTCAATCTGCCAATCAGTATGCAGCTCCTGCAAACCAATTTGCTGCTGACTTTTCCCAATCAGCTGCACCTCAACTCTATACTAGCTCTCCAATCCAACAAGGCCCACCAATAGCTAAATCTCGCACCTCCCAGATGCCAAAAGAACGCCTCCCCCGGCCAGAAGGTGTTTTCGAGCCCATTGAGGCTAGACAGGCTGAACAATCTGTGAGTATTAATTTGGATTATTCTAGTGTAAAGTTTAATGAATTCTGATGTTACACACATCGTTTGCCCTTTGATATGTTTTTAAAGAATGCTTTCTTTTTCAAAGGTAAGACTTAAAGGCAACAGCATCTATCAGTTTTGACTGATCCATTCTTTGTATCTGTGAGTTACACGAAAAATTTCTTGATCAGAAATATGATTGAAATGTAGAAATTGATGACTTGTGGCATCAAATTTCAATATAACTCAGTTCTGTTAATTGTTTAATTTTGCAAGAATGATATATATAAATATTCTGGTATAAATTATGCATCATTTCTTAATTCAGTTCCAATCAGCAATGAGTCCTATTAAACCTCCCCGTTCTGCTGGAGATAAAAGATTGTTAGTCAAAGTTATAAAAGCAAGTGGACTCGGCCCAAAGGAGACTGGTAAGTTTTTTACTCATAACAATCTACAGGAGGTGTAGTTCAAAGTTGGAACTGTAGCTAGATGAAGATCCCCAGCACTATGATTTTTTTGGCCAAAACCCTTAAAGATGGATTCACTTATTTTCATTTATGAAAATGAAAATGCTAATTCTTATATGAATAGAAAGTAGAGGTTTTCTAATGACTTGGAAAAATACCAGTTTGTCTCACATGTCCATAATTAATTCATAATTAGCAAAATAAGAAGAGAATTACCAGCAGAATTCCAATGAGTGACTTATCAAGAAGGGTCAAAAGGTTTTTTTTTGTTTATCCAGACTGTATGGACATTATGATTGGTTAATACTCTTAATTATATGCAATAAGAAGATAATGATATGATTAAGAATACATAATAATTCAATAGAAACACCAATTAATCACATAGTTTTTTGTTTAATTCAACACTAAAAAATAAGGAAACCCACCTTTAACTGCCTTTTTCTTATGATAAAGATTAAGAGTGAACTTCTGTTGAAGTTGGGGTTACCAAGTAGGAAAGTAAGGGGTTTGCCATTGATATTTCATGATAAAAAAAATCTAGTTAAAAGATTTGAAGAATGGATCTGTACAAACTCCCAGTTAGATCAAAATCACAGAACAACCAAATAGGACATGGCAAAATCCTCTTTATTACCATTATTATGTATGGATCTTGGCTTTTTGAATTTACTATAATTCAATATTTAATTAATTTTTCAATAAAAAATCGGGGTCTAATAAATTGTCAATTTATTTTGCAGGCCAAGTTGAACCTGTTTGTCTGTTATTATTAGATGATCCTGTACAAAACTACAGTACAAGTGCCGTTAAAAATACTATAAATCCTTTCTGGGATGAACATTTTCTTTTGTAAGTTTATTCTAAGCATTGTACAGCAGATTCTGGAGGAGCAATGTTTTACCAGAGGACTTACCTATAAGATTGTATAGAGTTGGTCACATATCTATATGTTCATTCTAATTTATTAAAATACGTCTTCCCCAATGTACTTTTTATGCTGCTGCAAAATTTTTAATATGAAATATACAAATAAAACTGAAATGTTGATGGTGAGGTTCTATATCACAGTCGGTTAGAGCGTTGGTTCTGTACATGATGTCATTTGCTTGGTTATATTGAGCAAATGGGGGCTATGGGTTCTGATCTCGATCGGTTTGTGATTATCCGATTACCTTGAATACGCCATCTTCACTCCAGTCGACCCAGCTGTAAATGGGTATGGATTATCGAGGAAAGATCAATGTAAAGAGGTTTGGCCAAGGACCAGCTTGTAGAAAGGATCCTTAACTGTGAACCTAAGTTGTTATCCTTATGAAATATAGTTCTTTCTTTCTTTAATACTATTAGTGTCCAGTGGCGGGGCAGAGGGGTTTCCCGCCCCCCTTCGCAGCCCAAATGGCATGTTTTTAAGGCAAAAATATCATAACTTGGATAGAAATTCAGGCAACCTCAGGTATTTCGCATCCCCTCGAACGTAAACCTGACTCGGCCATTGTTAGTGTTTCTAATATGCATTAAAAAGTTTATTTCAGAAACCTTTATAATCTCTTTGAGAATTGATTTGTTGTATAACTTAGTCTTTAATCAATGAAACTTTTCTATGCAAGGTCTGTCTGGTAATATGTTCAACACATATTTATTGATATACCATAATCTTACTTTTATGAGTTTATGTGTTTACATATTTCAGTGATGTAACGAATGAAACAAGAGAATTAAGATTAGAAGTTTATGATAGAGCAAAAGCTCCCGGTGGTAAGTCACAGGTTCCTTTCCTGTCTTTCTCATTGGGTACCATTATAACACTTGGTGATATCACTGATTTTAAAGTTTATGATCACTATAATCTTACTTGGCAAACTCAGTGAAAGAGTTACATCAGGTGCTTCTCGAGCAATACAAATATAACTTGTATATGATATTTCTTGTATAATTTTACATAAAAACCTTATTATTGTCTTCATACTGCTGTTAAGTGAATGATCATGAGCATTTGATGTTTCTATTAGACTAAAACCATGGGCCTGTTGACTTAGAACTGCTGTACTGACAAATGTACTCTCAATGAACCTTGTCACATTCACTTAAACCCTGGTCCCTTAAATGGGTGTTTTCTCCCTTGGGTGTGTGGGTTGGGGGTGTGGACAACTGTTGTAGGAAAATTTTTTTTTTGGGGGGTTATTATATGGTTCCAAAGAAAACAGAAACAGCCTTCCCACTGAGCGTCTAATTGTGGCCGCATGATTATATATCTATTAATATATATCCATTATTATATATCCATCATTATATATCCATTTTTATGTGTGATTATTATGATTAGTTTAAATAACAATTTACAACATTTTGAACGTTCATTGTTTTGGGGGTGTGAGGGGTTCAAATGATTACTCCAGGGGTGTGAAGGCTGAAAAAGGTTAGCAACTACTGCACTAAAACAATGAAGTGAAGAAAAAAAATGTAAAGCTCCATAAATTATTTGCTGAAAATATTGATGTATATATTTTGTAGAAGAGTTTATAGGAGAATCTGTTATATTTATTGATGATTTAAGAAAGACACCCAGTACTAGACAAATTCTAGCTCTACAGAGTAAACCTGGTTATGTTGATAGTTCTTGTGGATCTTTAACAGTTGAGGTAATTAGACTCCAAATTCTTTTATTCATGTTGAATTTTGAAAGTGTGTGACCTTAAATATTGTCTGTCATTCTGCTGAAGGTGGCTAAGATTTTTATGTGGATGATCTTTGCAAAAATGTTTGGCCAAGGATCAGCTATAAAAAGAATGGAGTTTTACATCCTACTTTTCTGCACCATGTGGGCTAATGAAGACAGGCAACGCCAAGCAGGGTGCAATGAGGGAAATTTTGCCAGGGCAGCGGCATTAGCCTGCTCTTTTTTGATTTCCAGTAGCACACAGGGCCTCAGTTTATGGTTCCATCCGAACGACTTGATGCTTTTTCCATGTCAGCCCCTCTTACCTGCATCACTGACAGAGGGAAACCGGGTTGAAAAATCTGAAGGTATAATCTTGACCTAGACCGGGATTGAACCCTGGACCCTCAGGTTAGCAAGCGAGCGTCTAAGTCACTGAGCCACCAAGGCTCCCAGCTATAAATAGAGAGGATCTGAGAACCCAACTTATGATTATAAAGCATATATGGATTTTGTTTTCCAGTTTTTGTTTATGGATCCTTCTGAAGCTGATTTATTATTAGATATATCTGCTGCAGCAAGTAATCAGATCTCACCGAAACGACGTATAGAAACCGGACGAACAATCACACCAGGTGGCACTGTAGTTACCACGACAACCACTACCACAGAGAAATCGCCATTTGCCTCTCAAGATCCTGGATTAGATGGTAATATTTTACCTTTTTTAATATTAATCTGACTTAAACAAGGGATTCAGATTGCAAAAAGACATTAAAGATTTTTGAACATGTGTACTCTACAAATTTGGTTACATAAAAAAATTTTTTGTTTTCAAAAAAAGTTATTGACTATGTATGTTTTCCCCAAAATTTTGAAAGCAGGTAACAGATAAACAAGCACAGTTTTGAAATATAATTATTGTTTATTCTACCAACCAAATAAAAATGAACTTGCTTACACTGGGAAACGTTAAGATATTTTTGTTGGATGGTCATCATGAACCCTTTACATATTGCTTCAAAAAGATAACTACACTTGAATATCATTATCATTCTGCAAACATTCTAATTTCTAAAGTAAAGTTAATTCATGTTATATTGCATGGTTTTGTTTGAGTGCTACCCTACTTAATATTCTATTCTTTAATCCTTTGTCAGACGACAAAGATATTTTTCATATTTGTGGCCAAAATGTCCATATATAGCTTAACAACATATTGGATAATGTGTGCAAAAAGCAATCACTATTAGAAATTTGATGCATTGTCAAAAATTTAACTTTTGAACTACCTGTTCAATTTTACGCCGATCAAAGATTGCAATATCAAAGTTTCAAAGTTCAACCCTTGCAAGCTACCAATTTGATTGCATGTAGCTTTTTCTACCCTTGATTGCCAATCTGGTTTGTTATTAACCAATGCATGTTTTTTTTTGTGTTGTTTGTTTAGGCTCACCCCACCTTGTTCAAAAGCATCATGTGAATGCTGATTACTCCAGTTCAGAATGTAGTGGTGGTAGAACATCTCCCTTTGTTTTAACCAACGACAACAGTTCTATGTCTGCATCATCAGGTATAAAATTTTCCTTACCTTGTTTGATTAACATTGCTGTTACTTAAAGGAGCACATACACTATCTGTTGGACCATCATACCTTAGTTTCAGAAACAGGAATTGTTTAGCTGAGCTAATCAATAATAATGTTCCCAGCACATCGTGGAAATTTGAGCCTTCAAATCCATGTGTATCCATGATTATTCATGTTTGAAAGTTAAAAATTTGAATCGAATTTTAGTGAGAGTATGCCATATACAGAAAACGCACATTTAGGAATAGACAGTGAAATTTCTAGTTCAAGGTATATTTGAAGGGATTATGTGATTTTCGTGCATTTTATTACTTCTTAAGCACAATAAAGACCCAAATCAATCCCGAAAATGCTGACTGTTTCCCTTTAAAGTATGATAGTCCAGATCTCTTATGTGTACAAAAATTTTGGACAATGTATACATAGTTTAAAAACCATCACAAAATGACGAAAATATAACATAGTAAAAAATTAGTAGTGCAAAATAATATTTTTTTTCATAAGAACTGAGCAAACTCTTCAACTTTGCTGTCAGTGTGTTGTAGGGATTTATAAAAATTATGTATACCTTGGTCTATGTTTTTGGCCCCTTTTAGGAACAGCATTGTTAATCAGAATCAAATATGATAGCAATATACTAACTTCAGCTAAGGCTTAGATAGATCAATACCGATTACATAATTGAAAAAGAGTTGAAATATTTTCCTACTCAGAAATTTTTTTAATGTAAAGCATATTTGATATTGACCAAGCTGTAACTTGGTATAAATAATCTGACAAAGATCATTGTGAGTTTCAAGGTTTGAATCAAATCTCAACAAGACCTATCAGTATTGACCTATCTTGAACAAATGATATTAAAGAGATTGTAAAGAGATTTTCTAATAGAAATTGAAATTACGAAAGCATAGGCAGAGGAGAAAATTCAGCAACACCAATTACTGTTATGTGTAGAAAAAAAAGATATGGCAGGTGTATATGGGCCATTTATGACTTTTATGCATCATTCAAATTTTCTGAAGTTCCTGTAATTATAATCTATGAAGTCACTATTGTAAAGCTGTTAATGATATCTAAGGACTTTATTATCATACTCTTAATTTTATTGGAATTGCAAAAAATTGGATACACAAAATGAGTGTAGAAAACCTCTTTATAATTTATTTAAAAAAAATTAACAAATGCCTCTGTTATATACTTAATATGTAAAGATGATCAATAATATATCTGTTCATCTAGATCTGATTCAAAACATAAAAACAGGCATTGTACTTTATATTTAGGTAATATCAACATATTAACTGTGTTTCCACCAGACAAATTGCTGAAAGATCTTGAGTCGTATTATTAACTGTATATATATTTCACATGTTTTTTCCACTGGGATGTATGCTACATGTCTAGTGTCTGTATATCATGAATGTTTATTTTCAAGTTTGTTTTCATATTTTCGAAGTAGATTTTTTTCCACTGAAAACTGCATGGATTTTAAATTAAAAGTTTTAATATCATATATATTTATTTTTACTTAATAGACATGTGATGATCATGCATTATATCCATTTTTATTATATAACATAGAAAATATTGTATAATAAAACAGAAAATATTGTATAATATAACAGAGAAAATATATATAACAGAAAATATTGTTTAATATAACATGGAAAATATTGTATAAAATAACATAGAAAATATTATATAATATAACATAGAAAATATTATATAATATAACATAAAAAATATTGTATAATATAACAGAGAAAATATTATATAATATAACAGAAAATATTGTATAATATAACAGAGAAAATATTGTATAATATAACATAGAAAATATTGTATAACATAACATAAAAAATATTGTATAATATAACATAGAAAATATTATATAATATAACAGAAAATATTGTATAATATAACATAAAAGATATTGTATAATATAACATAAAAAATTTTGTATAATATAACATAGAAAATATTATATAATATAACAGAAAATATTGTATAATATAACAGAGAAAATATTGTATAATATAACATAGAAAATATTGTATAATATGACAGAAAATATTGTATAATATAACATAGAAAATATTGTATAATATAACATAGAAAATATTGTATAATATAACAGAAAATATTGTATAATGTGACATAGAAAATATTATATAACAGAAAATATTGTATAATATAACATAGAAAATATTGTATGATATAACATAGAAAATATTGTATAATATAACAGAAAATATTGTATAATGTGACATAGAAAATATTATATAACAGAAAATATTGTATAATATAACATAGAAAATATTGTATAATATAACATAGAAAATATTATATAATAGAACATAGAAAATATTGTATAATATGACATAGAAAATATTATATAATAGAACATAGAAAATATTGTAAAATATAACATAGAAAATATTGTATAACATAGAAAATAGTGTATAATATAACATAGAAAATAGTGTATAATATGACATAGAAAATATTATATAATATAACATAGAAAATATTGTATAACATAACATAAAAAATATTGTATAACATAACATCGAAAATATTTTATTATATAATGTAGAAAATATATAATATAACAGAAAATATTATGTTATATAATATAACATAGAAAATATTATATTATATAATATAACGTAGAAAATATTGTATAATATAACATAAAAAATATTGTGTAATATAACATAGAAAATATTGTATAATATAACATAGAAAATATTGTATAATATAACATAGAAAATATTGTATAATATAACATAGAAAATATTGTATAATATAACATAGAAAATATATATAACATAGAAAATATATATAACATAGAAAATATTGTATAATATAACATAGAAAATATATATAACATAGAAAATATTGTATAATATAACATAGAAAATATTGTATAATATGACATAGAAAATATTATATAATATAACATAGAAAATATTGTATAATAGAAAATATTGTATAATATATCATAGAAAATATATATAACATAGAAAATATTGTATAATATGACATAGAAAATATTATATAATATAACATAGAAAATATTGTATAATAGAAAATATTGTATAATATATCATAGAAAATATATATAACATAGAANATATTGTATAATATAACATAGAAAATATAATATTATATAACATAGAAAATATTATATAATATAACATAGAAAATATTGTATAACATAA